TATATATAATTTATTGTATTTAATTCTTTCCTCTTTCAGTAACCAGAGTAAACAGGCGTTCGCTGACTGGGCGAGACACGATGACGCTCAGGACAACTTCTGCGAGCTGGATGGTGAGGATTTCCTCTGCGTGATGCTTTCACTGACAACACAGCGTACAGCTCAATATCACATACTGACCACACTGCCTTAAACTAACACCACCAACACAGAGGTATCAAATCTAATGAGGAAATCTGCATGAAACTTCCTCTCAGTCTCCTTTAGATGGTAATGACCTCGTGATATGATGATATTGATATGATGATATGACCTCTAGCTCCGCCTGCAGGACAAACATCTTTCTTCTGATGAGACTGTAGAACAGACTTTTATGTTGCTGATAGTAGTGATGCTTTAATCCATTAAAGGTGTGTGTGTGTGTGTGTGTGTGTGTGTGTGTGTGTGTTAGATGAAACCTCTCCAGATTCAGAGTACGTGGATCTGCTGCTGAATCCGGAGCGGTTCACTGGATACAAGGGTCCTTCAGCCTGGAGAGTCTGGAACAGCATCTATGAGGAAAACTGCTTCAAGTGAGACACACACACACTGTGATTTCGATCCTGTTTGTCTTTTTCTGGCAATATGCTGCTGAAACACAGGATCCAATAGATTATTAAGAATTTCAATTCTTAAAGCAAATATAGATGAAGAAACTTTTCTTTATAAGATATAAAAATGTTTCATGTAATTAAATGATACGTTTCCATACTGTATTCTTCTCTGCATCCAGTCTCACTCTAAACTCGTGATGATTGATTATTAATAATAATAATCTTTCTGTTTGTGGTCATCAGGCCCAGATCAGTGTACCGACCTCTGAACCCTCTGGCTCCGAGCAGAGGTGAGTCTGAAAAAATCAATAACTGCTCACTTTGAACAAACTAAAAGTGGATCAAACTGCTCAGAATTATAACTGTATTCACTTATTCTTTGACCAGATAGTCAGTTATTTTAGTTTAATGTGATGTTCATTTAGGGTATTTATCAGGGGCAGAAACGACTGAAATGAATAATTTTTCTGTTCAGATTTGTTATTTTTGCTGTAGAATAAGTTAAAACTGCAGCTGTTGTTGCAGAGGCTTGTGTTCATTAATAGATCTGACTGAGCTTTGTTCTCTGTCTGTCTTTCTGTGTTCAGGAGACGACGACGGTGAGTAAAACTAAACACGTCTTCATGTGAATTTATTTTTAGCCGTGTTGTAAAAAAAACAAACACTGATTTTGTTCTCACGTTGCAGGAGAGGGTTTCTACAAGTGGCTTGAAGGTGAGTTCTCACATATTCCTCCAGGAACATATATTCTTTTTATACCTTTTAGTTAACAAACAACTTTCTTACTCTAACGTTGAATATCTGAAGGTCACAGACAGACAGTGTCTCAGTTAACATATCAACCTCATTGCTCTCTTGGTTTATTTGACTTAATCAGAAGTATGGAAGCCCGTTTCCACTTGTAAAATAAAAAATAAGATAAAACAATAAAATAAAAAAATATCCTCATGGCAAGTCATAATTTTTGCTTTTTAACTCATAATTTTAAAAACAAATTGAACATTTGTCATTATCGGGGATACGTTTTCATCTTAAAACCTTCTTTTTGATTCGTTAGTTAGTTTAGTTAGTAGTTAATTACTTTGATGAATAAAACATGTCCTCATTAACTTTCTCTCTGTCTGTGTCCAGGTTTGTGTTTAGAGAAGAGAGTTTTCTACCGACTCATCTCAGGCCTCCACACCAGCATCAACATCCACCTGTGTGCCGAGTACCTGCTGGACGGTACGACAGCCTGATCTTAACGAAGCTCGTTTACTCTCAAGTCTATCAAATGTAAAATAAAGTGTCGTATCATGTAGTAAACTGTTGTTGGATTCCTCAGAGGGCTGGGGCCGGTCGGTCTGGGGTCCAAACGTTCAGGAGTTTCGGCAGCGCTTCGACACGGCGGAGACAAAGGGCGAGGGCACACGGCGGCTGAAGAACCTTTACTTCCTGTACCTGATCGAGCTGCGGGCGCTCTACAAGGTGGCGCCGTACTTCGAACGGGCGTTCATCAACCTGTACACTGGAAACTCGCAGGAAGACGGAGCCACGAAGGACCTGCTGCTACAGGTCTTCAATGAGATCAGGTAAGAGGAGCTTGTTTGTGGTCCTTTTAAAGTAAAATGTAATAATAACTGTTTTTATTAGCAAAAGTAACTTTGGTTAAACCGCCAGAAGTTGCCACAGAAGTTGCCACAGTTGGTGATTAATGGTAAAACATAGCACAACCGTATCTGAAGTCATAAAGTCAGAGAAGTGACTCATCACAGCAGTTTTTATCTACAATTTGTGAGCGTTAGCCACCATAAGGTTCTGGTCATACCACACCAAGCAGTCTGCGTCTGAAACAGTAAAACTCCTGCATGTGTTCAACTGAGAAAATCTTTGTTTTATTACTTATAAAATTAACTTTTCAATTGTAAAATAATGAATGTGCTACTTCTGCCTTCACAATTTACAAAAGGGTCTCACTATAAAGTTATTCCTTTCATGTGTATTTAACATTGATCTGAATATCAGGAATAAAGAAGCTCCTAAGGTATAAAATTAACAGGAAAATATTCCTTAAATGGGAACATGAATATATATATCGATAAATGAGCCCCGAGGTTTGTACAGCAGCTAACTGAGTGAGTACAGATCGTCTCAGTGGTTGAATCAGATAATGTGTTTATTTTTTCAGTTAAGTAGTTTTATCTGTAAAGCAGAAAACCTTTCATCTTCTACTTTTTACCCCAGTGCCAGGGTTTGATGTTACCGGCAAATTTCTTCCATCCTTTGCACTTCTTCTTCTTTTTCTGACTCCCAGAAGCTTTGTCATCAGTCGTCACCTCTGTGTTGGACCCGTCGGCGTCCTCTGGGCGAACCTCTTTCTTGTAACACGAGAGCTTTTCTTCCAGCTCCTCCAGCTTCAGGGAAATCATGTGCTCCCTTTCATAGAACCAAATCTTCTGCTGGATGCAGAGATCCAGCTGCTCTTTCACCTTACGGTTGAGCACCTGGATTATTTTGAACTGTTCCTCCTTAATGGCCTCCTTATGATCTTTCTCTGCCTTTAACTTCTTGAACATGTCCTGGAATCTCAAGGTTTTTCCTTCGTAACACAGTTTCAGGTCTTCGATCTCTTCAAGGTAGGCCTTCTTCTCCTTCTCCCAGGCTTGGAGTTCGCTGTCCTCATCGCGTCCTTTTTGGATCGTCTGCTGGAGGTCATTTATTTCCTGGCAGAGGACCTTTTCCCTCTCAGAGGCATTCAGCTGCTGCTCCCTGTACACATCCATTTGGTTCCTGAGTTTGATGTTGAGCTCCTGGATTTCTTTTTTCAGGAACTCTTTTTCTTTCCTCTCTGCTTGGTACTTTTCAGCCGTGCTTTCAAAACGCATTTTAAGCTGCTCCACCTCATCGCTCGAGGCCTTGTTCTGGCTCTCCACAGATTTGAGGTTGTGGTCGAGCATATTCTGACACTTAAAATCGTTTTCGCCTGTTTCTTGTTGGATGATGTTTTCCCCTTCAGAGCTCTCTGTCTCTTCCTGAGTGCAAACGCCATTTTCTTTTTGCACCAGTGAAGCAGGATCCTGAACTTCATCCACTTGCTGCGCCTCGTCCTTTTCGGGCAAATCTTTGAAGGTCACCCTTTTCACTTTGCAGCTCGTCTGAAGTTCTTCAGTCTGAGTTATGAAGAGCTTGTCCTCCCTCTCCAGAGCCTCAAGTATCAGCTCAAGCGTATCTAGACAGCTTGAGTCCTCGGTTCGGAGCTTCTCCTTAACGTCAGCAGGATCCTGATTTTTATCCTCCTGCTGAATCACAGTGACATCCTCTGCAGTCTCAGCCTCATCCTTTTTGGACAAGCTGTCTCTGCAGGTCATCTGAACTTGTTCTTCAGGACTAAATAAGCTCAGGTTCTCTCTCACCAAAGCATTAAGTAGGAGATCAAACATGTCCACACAGCCTGATCCCTTCTGGACTAATTCACTGGTGTCTTTGTGCAGGACGTTGCTCCCTTCAGAGGTCTTGGGCTCCTCCTGGGTGCAGACATCACTTTCCTTTTGAGGTTCATCAAGTTCAGGGACAAATGAGTCTGCACACTCTGTCTGAAGCTGCTCCTGGAGGTCACAGATGTCTTTACAGAGGACCTTTACCTGCTCAGAGTGTCTCAGCTGCTCCTGGGAGTGCATCTCTCTCTCTCTTTGAAGCTGCAACTTCAGTTGCTGAACTTCTTTCTGCAGAACATCCTTTTCCTTTCTAATGGACTGTTTTTCAGCCTTCTCAGAGTGGCACTCAACAATGATGTCCTTGAGGGTCGCAGTATGGAAGTCTGCCTCTTGAAGCAAGATGTCTCTCTCTGCCTCCAGGGTCTTGAATTTATTGACATGCTGATTGATGGTTTCTTTCAGACTGTCAGTTTCTGTCCGATGGGCGTTTTCTTTCTCAGTGGCCTTCAGCTGCTCCTCTGCTCGTAAGTGTTTTTCTCTTTGGAGGAGATTGGAGAGCTTGCAGATTTTCTGCTGTACGCCGCACTTTCCTGCCATCTAACCAAAGCTTGAAATCTTGTTCTTGCACTGAAGTCTCTTCCAGACATAAATGTGATTCTGAGAACCTGTTGACCAAACTAATGTTCCAACAGAATGTCGGTGTGGTCAGCAGAATGTTGGATGGAATGATTTATTTGTTTTTGTTTTCATAAACTTTATTATAAACACACAGAAGAGACTGGAAGAAACTGGCTGCGTAGCTTTACTGTTACTTGTTTACTGACTACTCTCCTTCAGTCGCAGCAGAGTTGTGTTACAAACTGAACATTTCTCACTGCTTGTTACTGTAAGACTAACAGCTGCTTTTTGTCTTCCAGAGCTTTCCCAATGCACTTTGATGAGAAGTCCATGTTTGCCGGACACAAAATTGAAGCCAAAACATTAAAGGTAAAACCAAAACCTTTGACACCTGCTCGCACACACGGAGACTGACGCTCTCTGTGTGCGAGCAGGTGTCTTTTATTCTTGTTTGCTCTCCTTTTAATGAGCAGTGAGGCAGAGGAGCCAGAAGGCTTTTAGTGTGTGCAAACAGCCGAGCATTCATCCTCCGTAACCTTTAAAATATATATATTCACATCTTATATGAACGCTGTGAAATGTTTTTGAGATAAACTGACTGCTCTGTCTCCTCTCTCTGACCCTTCAGGAGGAGTTTCGCCTCCATTTTAAGAACATCTCCAGGATCATGGACTGCGTCGGCTGCAGTAAATGTCGACTGTGGGGGAAACTGCAGGTGAGCCGCGTTACAGACTCTGTTGTGTGTTTATGTTCAGAAAAATAACCTCAAAGCAACATCAAAACAGTTTAATTCAAATCTCATTTACAACCGAGACTTTTTATGTTACATTATGACTTTTTATGATATAATTTCAACTATTTATCTTATAATAATGACTTTATTTTATTCATTTTGACTTTTTATTGTAAATGTATATAAAACAAAATTAAGCCCATGACGCTTCTGTATTTATTGCATTTATCTTGTTGTTTTTGACAATCGACTCTTAAAAAGACACTTTTTTAAAGTTTGAAGTTTAAAAAAGTTGATTAATCGTGATCTCAGTATTGACAAAAACCATCGTGCTTAAGATTTTTGCGGCAATCGAGCCGCCCTACCAGTCAGTGGGTTGTTATCGTTGGACGGAGCCAGGCTAGCTGTTTCCCCGTTTCCAGTATTTGTACTAAGCTAAGCTAACCCACTGCTGTCGGTGTAGCGTCATATTAACCGTACATATCGACCTTCTCATCCGACTCTCTGCAGGAAACCGTTGACCTCTCTGGATATTTGATATTTGTGCTCAGAGGGTTCACGTTTTATTTTCCTAAAACTGTTGTTGGTTTTCTGTTACTGTTACTGTAAACTCTTCCTGACCGTCCTCCTGTGTGTCGTGTGCAGACTCAGGGTCTCGGTACAGCCCTGAAGATCCTCTTCTCTGAGAGGGAGATCCAGAACCTTCCTGAACACAGCCCCTCTAAAGGTTTCCAGCTGACTCGACAGGAGATTGTGGCCTTACTGAACGGCTTCAGCAGGTAGGTTCACTGCTCTCAGACAGGCAGGCAGACAGGCAGGCAGACAGACAGACAGACAGACAGACAGACTGGAGGGGCTG